CCATATTCACACCCGCACACGCTTTACAAGCGGGGGGGGGGGCGCGAGACTTGAACCATGCTGTTGGCCGTGTGGACCCAGCACCTCACTCACCGCAGCCCCGCCGGCCCGACACCGCACTTCGTAAAGCACAGCTGGACAGCACTGCCCAGCGCCCTGTGGAAGCACGACAGCTCCTGGGCCCCGTGGACCCTCTCACACGGGACACACACCGACATCCACCAGCAGGATGGGGAATGTCGACTTGCGTCCCACACTCCCACCGACAGCCACTTACGGTGGTGCTCTGCCCAGGGAGGGATGCCGTGGGCAGCCGCTACTCCACTGCTGGTTCATGGGCACGCAGGCGGGGCTCCCACCCACAGGACCTGGGAGCCAGCACCCTGGACCTCCCCAGGAACTGCCCGCCTTGCACGTGTGTGTGCCCTGCCCTCTCTCCTTCGGCTTCCTCAACCGTGAGTGCTGCCGCCCTGCACAGGGGAGCGGCTATGAGCAGTGAGGTCTCTGGCTTCCCCAGTAGGTGCCAACTCCGGCCCAAAGGGCAACCGGCCAACCCTCCCTGGAGGCCACCCTACTCTACACGGAGAGTGACCCACAGAGTCTCTGCTCCCTTCACAGGCCACGCGGGGTCCCGGTGCAGACCTGCAGCCCACCACACTGTCCCTGCTCCCTCCAACCACACCCACACAGAAGCGCTACTGCCCAGCACTCTGGGAGCATCAGGCCAGAGCTGGGGGCGAGACGTGGGGCCCTGCTCCAACATAACTCAGCGCAGAGAGGGGCTAGTAGGAAGGCACCGCCCAGCAGGAAAAGCGCACAGAGGGTGCAGACAGGCAGCTCCTGGTCAGCGGCAGAGGGAGGTGTTCGCCATCATCAGCAGTCAGAAATCAAGGAGTGCGGAAAAGGCTTGTTTCGCCTATCAGACTGCCTAAGACGGAACAGATGACATGCAGGCTGGCAAGTGGGCACGGAAACAGGCCACAGCCATGCAGCACGGGTGGCAGACAGCAGACGGCCCGGCCTTTCTGGAGGGCATTCTGGCAAAGTGCACCCTACTCCTCGGCTTGTCTCTCTCCCAGGAATGTGCTCCAAGGACGTGGCAGTGTGGACGCCCATCACCGTGTGATCTGAGGGGCCATGAAACAAGATACAAGCAGCCCCTGTATCTCCGGGCCTTACTGTTAGGGAAATGGTGCATTTTTGCACAGAGAACTGTGTCCTGACTTTCCCAACAACCTAATACAGTAGTTTTGGGTTTTTAAAATTATGTTATTTAACTTTGTTTATTTCTATTCATTTGACCAAAGAGGGACAGCGTGTGAGAGAGAGAGGAAGCTGCCAGGTCCAGGACATGAACCATAGTCGGCCATGTGGGAGTCCAGCACCCTCAACCACCATGCCCCC